TTAAAAATTTTGATTTCTTGATGGAGGGCAATTTTACATTTTATTAAAAGAAAATCTACTATTTTATTACAAAGTTTTTTATGTATTTTAAAAGGCTATAGTAGAATAAATATATGTAATTTGTCTTGGCAGTTATAGGTATCTTGTAATTTTGATCATACTTGGGTAGAACATCAAAAAAAAGTATTTAAATTCTTTGAAATAGTGCAGTTTATAATGGACTACACAACTGCAACAACTAAATACTATAAAAAGTATTTAAAAATGTATTTCAATGTTTTCAAATAAGAATAATATCTATTTAGTTTAAAAAAACAACTTTTATTTTAAAAAGTTTTATTAAGATAAAAACTACAATATGAAATCTATCTGTTTGTACATTATATAAAATAGTACTTTTGTTGCCTTTTAAAAATAGTAATGCAACCCCTTTCTATAAGTACCTATTGCACTTTATTATCGTTTTGTTACAGTAAGCAAGAGCACCTTGTATATAATGTGCCATGTATTAAACTTTAACAATAGCTTTACCAATATTTCCCCCTTGTAACATTGAAACAAACGCGTTGAAAGTATTTTCAAATCCGTTAGTAATCGTCTCCCGATATTTCAATTTCCCTTCTTTTATCCATTGAAGGTTCTGATTGATTCCTTCGAGCCATCTGTCTTTATAATCGAGTACTCTGATTGCTCCCATAGTTACACACTTCATTTTAATCGGCGTTTGGATTTCCGGTGCTAAAATATTTATTTTTACGTTATGGGGCTATAAGAGTGAAGCATCCTTTATATTTAATAATTTCTTTCTTTACCTTTGGGTAAGTCACCTGAGTCGTTATTGTAAGTTGATATGGAACCGCAAATGCAAACTCGGCCAAACTTCTTCATTTGATATATTATGGTACTACTTATCTCACCACCAACCTGTAAACAACAACAAAATATGAAAAATGTATAAAATACGTCCATATTTTTCCAACGCAACTCTTCTTTATTTTTGGGCGAAAATTTAGCCTGATTGATTAAAGTTCAATAAACTTACATTATCAAAAAAGCAATCAACACCATCTGGAGCATATTCTGCCAATTTCTCTGCTACATTGGAAGTTTTATAGTTGATGAAATGATCAAATCCCAAATCTTTTGTTATCCATCTACCTTTTTCATCACTTCCAGCTATACCAATAACTTTACATCCCTTAAGTTTTGCAATTTGTCCAACATGACTCCCCACAGCTCCACCAGCTCCAGTAACAACAAATACTTCACCCTCTTTTAATTTACAAACTTCAGTTTCTCCAAAATATGCCGTATTTCTATAAATTAAATTTTAATATCAATACTCACAAATATAAAAATAAATAATTATAGTTCCCTAAATTATCTGGCAAAATATATTTTGTAGTTAGACTTTTCTGATGGAGAAAATTAAAGTCTACCTATTCAATACATTTTAATTTTTCTTAATAAATTGCTAAATTTTGCTTACCCTGGCATTCCAAGAACACCAAGTGCCAATGATAAGGGCAAATTACCAATATCAGGAATTATCCAGGGTGCAGGAAAACCTATTTTATTTATTTCATTCTTACCAATGGACAGTGTTTGCCATCCAAACTCTCCTACTACATGCTTTCCAACTGGATAGTCCTTGCTTTTGCTTTCAATAATTCTGTGGAAATATGTAATAATGCCACATCACAAACTTTTAAAATTATAACATTTAATTAACCTTGCCACTTGTGAACCAAAAATGGTGTCTCCAGGGTTGATAGTTGAAATTAAACCTCTTACATATGGATCCACACTTACATATACTGCCTCTGCCAAAAATTCTAAAAATATTTGTAATATAAATGCTTTATTTAGCAAATAGCAACATTCAAACCTCCTTCTTTAATAGCAGGCACAATTTCTTCAATTAAATTTACATCAGCTTCCTTTGGTAGCCCATGAAATTGGTTTTTAAGTTTAAAAACTTTAGATTTTCTTGGAGTTTGGGACATGTTTCTGTATTTGAAAAAGCTTGCAAAAATAAAAAAGGTCAAAAAATTGATATCAAATTGTTATTGTTTAATACTTACAAACATACAATGGTTTTTACAACTGAAGTACACTTTCTCTGAACAATCTTTAATTCATATAAATAACATATGTTATCTTATCGTTATCAGTTAAAGAACCACAGTCGCTAGCCAATTCCTTACTAGCCCACAAAAGCACCGATAATAAAAAATTTAGATAAAGAAAAAAAATGCTTTGTAATGTTTCAAAAGGATAAGCAGTAAATTCTAGAATATTGTTTTGACTTGTACATGTTATTATTTTATTACTTCAAAGAACATTCAAACAACATCACTCACAATTGTGATAGCTTTAAAACTGATATTTATTTTTAAATTTTGAATATTTCTGATTTCCTTTTCGCACCCGTCATTATCAAATGACCACAGACCACAGAACCACAGATATACTATTTGTGGCTGTTCTATGATTCTATTCAATTCTATTTTTTGATGCAACAATTTCCAATTTCCAAATTGTAACTTTCCAAGAGTTTTTTCTGCTGCCTATCTATGCCTATCGTTCTATTCGTCGTTCTATCATCCGTCTTTGTGCCATTATCACGTGTATGCCGGCAGTAACGTTTGTAAATTAATTTTTTATTTAATATAGTTTACTGCACGAATAACGAATCTACTATATTATAAAACTAAATTAGTGTTTAAATTAATGTCTTTCATAAAACAGTTCATTGTTCTATTTTAAGGGGTATTAGATGATTTTAGTGTATGGTGTTGAATTTTTGGCGGTTTTCTTGTGTCACTTCCACAAACAGTAAAAACCTCAACTTCTTCATAAAAATAAATACTCATCAAAAGTAGATTAAATATGGATGAGGATTGGGATAATGCTCCAGCTGGACCTCAGGTAACCTTTTTTTAATGCAGTTATTTTTTTTCATATATTATAAGCATTCAAGCAAAACAACTATTTATGGCTGTTTATATGTTTAATATTCGTAATTTTTATTAGAGCTTTTCTGGAAGTGATGTTCCTTTAGATGGTGGTAAAATGTTTAGTAAGGGACGGGGATTTTCAGCAAAACCACGAAGTACAGATAATGATGAATGGGGTATGCTATTTACAATATACTAACACATAGTATACATTCACATTGTGAAAACTGTAAAAAATGAGAAATATTTTGTGTTAAACATATAGGTAATGGTGATAGTAACAATGAGTGGGGTTCCAAAGATAATGGAGGGTGGGGAGGCAATGACCATGGTAAGAATGCCATTACCCAATTTATGATTTATCATTCCTATTATCACTGTATGATAGCTTCAGGAACAGTTTGTTCATGCTTACCCATGTATGGTTGTTGTTTTATAAGAGTGATTAAAATTTATATTGGAAAAATATATTTTTGATTTATATTAAACAAAGAAAATTATCTTTCCAATTTTTGCAATTTATTGTGAAATTTTAAAACATGCTATGTGCAATCTTTTTTATTACCTACAGTGAATGCATTATGTAACAAAAACATTTTTGTGCAGTTTTGAAAGTTCTGGTTTTGATTAGTATTATATAATACCTGGCTATTCAACACTAATATTAATTTCTCTAGGAAGATCAGGTGGACGTGGTGGAGGAGGTCGTGGAAGAGGAAATCGTGGAGGTGGACGAGGGGGTCGTAATGAAAACCGATTTGCAGACGCAGATGAGGGTGGTTGGGGTAAAGGTGGAAACAATGATGATGATGGTGATGGAGGTTGGGGAGGAAATTCAGGTGGTAGAAGAGGTGGTGGTCGACGAGGAGGTGGTAGAGGAGGTCGTAAATTTAACGACGATAACAACGGTGATTCGGAATGGGGTGGCCGTGGGGGTGGAAGGTCTGAAAGAAATCATGACGACGACGCTTGGGGTGATAGCAATGGTGGGGGTAATCATGGTAACGATGGCGGCTATAAAAGAGGACGTGGAGGAAGGCGGGGAGGAGGAAATGGTAAGATTAAGAAAAATAATGTTTTCACTTGAATATGTTAAAAATAATAAGTACTTACAAAGATTGTTAAATTATCTTTCTATTTCTGTCAGTTGGTTTTTATATTTGTTAATTTTTACTTAATTTTCTGTTTACCTAATTTGATATTTCGTTATAATGTTAAATTTTGAAACTTTGGCAGACAATAGCGATTCTTGGGGAGGTGATAACAGAGGAGATGATGCTTGGGGAGCAAACGATGGCGATCAAGATGAAGGAGGCTTCGGAGGAAGATCACGAGGTCGAGGTGGTCGTGGAGGCCGTGGTCGAGGTCGTGGAGGGAGAAGTGATGGATCAGGAGATTTTGATAATGGGCAACAGGGTGATGGTAAAGTTTTTTCATAATCATAACACTTATTTGGCGATTAAATGATTGTGTTGTACACTTATAGTTATATATTAATTTTTAGAAGAGAAACCAAAGAGAGAAATCTATATTCCTCCAGAGCCCACAAATGACGAAAACGAAATGTTCAGTTCTGGAAACACAACAGGTGTTAATTTTGCGAAATACGACGATATTGAAGTTCAGGTACATTGCAGAAGCTTTTCTGTATTACTTCTCTATAAATTAATGTTTGTTGTTTCAGGTGTCTGGCGAAAATTATCCGAAACCAATCCAATCCTTTGAAGAGGCAGGTTTACGACAATTGTTAATTGATAATGTTCGAAAGTCCGGCTACACAAAACCAACGCCTATTCAAAAATATGCTCTTCCGATTATTTTAGCCAAAAGAGATCTTATGGCTTGTGCACAAACGGGTTCAGGAAAGACGGTAAATTATTAACCATAGATATTTAAGTATTTGCATAACATTTAACTGGACTAGGGGAGCAAAATGTTAATCATTATAAAATTCACTTTACTTTTTTCTATTTCTCCTTATTTAATAATACTTATGTTAAGATTAGATTGTACATTCTAGGCTGCTTTTTTGCTGCCGATTGTTCACACTTTGATTGCCGAACCTGAAGAATTAGTAGCTGATGGTACTAGCTGCTCGCCGCAGGTCGTTATTATCTCACCGACGAGAGAATTGACCATACAAATTTATGAAGAAGCCAGAAAGTTTGCTCATAATTCTATTATAAAGGTTGTAGTAGCTTACGGTGGGACTTCAGTTGGATATCAAAAGGATCGCATGAAGGTCTCTTGCTTTCTTTTTCAAAGAAATGCATTATACATTTATGATAATTTTTTCCTTAGATGGGATGTCACATTCTAGTGGCCACCCCAGGACGCATGAACGACTTTGTTAAACGTGGTAGTTTGTCCTTTAGTGCCACCCGCTTCGTAGTTTTGGACGAAGCTGATCGGATGTTAGATATGGGATTTCTACCGGAAGTAGAACATATGATGGAACATCAAAGCATGGTTCCTACAGTAAGCTCTCACTTTTTATTTTGTAACTAAACGAAATAATTATTAAAGTTTTGCATTTTTTTTTCATGCTAGCCTGTTTGTTATGGACGGGTAATATTTATTATGTATTTCTTTATAAAGATATTTTATGCTTGATGCTTTTGATGATAGTTTAATGGTATCAAAAAATGTTTGTTGTATTATAAGAAAATTTGTTAAACTGTACCAAATGTATTTGCAACTATTTTACAATGAAATGGTATTGTAGGGTACTCGACAAACGCTCATGTTTTCTGCCACATTTCCGGAAGAAATCCAGCGATTAGCAGCAAAATTTTTGGATAATTACATATTCGTTGCTGTAGGCATAGTTGGAGGTGCTTGTACTGATGTAGATCAAAGATTTTATCAGGTTGATAAGTTTAAAAAAAGAGACAAACTTGTCGAAATTTTACAAGAGGAAGGTAAATATAGATAACAAAAACTATTTTATTGTGGTGACATTTAATTTTATCATTTTCTTAGGATCAGAGAAGACTCTAGTTTTTGTTGAAACAAAACGTAACGCTGATTTCATCGCCTTATTTTTATGCGAAAACGATTTCAAAACAACGAGTATTCACGGCGATAGACTTCAGCGGCAACGCGAAGAGGCACTTCGTGATTTCAAGACTGGTTTTAGGAACATACTAGTAGCGACTGGGGTAGCTGCCAGGGGGCTTGATATTAAAAACGTTAAACATGTAATTAATTACGATTTACCCAAAAGCATCGATGAATATGTTCACAGAATTGGAAGGACAGGACGAGTCGGTAAGGGTTTAAATCTTATATTAAGTAATTGTGTTAATAAAAAGATTCCATATTATTTATGTTTTCTTGTATTTTCATTTTTAACTTATTAATTCTTTGGTATAATTTAGGAAATCGTGGAAAAGCAACGAGCTTTTTTGACGATGCTCAAGATAGTGCTATTGCTGGAGATCTAGCGAGAATTTTAAAACAAGCTGGTCAGCCTGTACCTGATTGGTTGAAAGGAGGTGGAAGTGGTGCGTTCGGAGGGCACGGCGGTTTCGGTGGTCGAGACGTTAGAGAGGTAATTCAATACATGGATAATACTACTTAACTCGCATATTAAGTCATATGAACATATTACTTTCCCTTTTTTTTATTTTATGACATTATCCTTTTGCAGGATGACTTCGGTCAAGCACAGCCCTCATATATGCCCGAAGAACCAGAAGAATCATGGTAAAGATAGCATTTTTTTCTTTACAGTATTCACGAGCATTCCGCCTTCTTCAACTATTTTTTAATTTTCATTTACTATTTGATGTTGATACTTTGTTAAGTAATATTTAGAATTTAAGTTTGCTTTTTCTTTGTTCTATATATATGAATTCTACATTATTTCATTTGAAATGTTATTAACTACGAATAACTTTTTTTCGTTACCTGTTTTACTTAGGCGATATAATTATAATGCTACAATATGCACTATAAGTGAAATTGTTTTCGTTAAACAATCGACAAGGTAGATTTAAACGTTATATTTTACTAATTTGTACCATTATCGTAATATTTCCGCCTGTGATTAAATGTGTTTTTGTTAAAAACGATCTGAACGCCTCATTATTTGTGTATGGCCTCTATTTTTTTGAATAAATATTTTTATATTAAAATTGATTATCATTATAAGTAANTTTATGTGTTATGTATCTCGTAGAGAATTCAATTTGCTTAAAAATTTTATATCAATATAATATTGAAAATTAAACTACCTGTACAGCGTTCAAAAACTTTAATAAGGTTACTCAATATTATATAATTTTATTAAAAAAGAACAGTTCTTGATTATTTTATCATAATATTCAACCAGTCTTAAAAGCGAATATAATCAAATATAACATTGCATAATATTTCACTTTGAATTAAATTTTTCAATGCAGATCCATTACTATCTGGTTATTAAAGAAATATAATTGATATTAAAAATATAAAAGTGTGTGATTGCAATTATATTTTTAATAATACCATCTACAATTTAGTTTGTTGCTGAAAGTTTGACCGTTTTTTGTTTATTCAAACATTATTGAAGATTTGGAATAAATCAAAACAAAGTATCAAATTTTTTCTCTTTCTGCACACAATTTTAAATTAAACCAATATTGTCGAATTATTTGGGGAAACGCTATTTTGTAACGGAACGGGTCCTTGTATCCAGTGAATAAGGAGATTATGTTCGGGCATTTGCGAGGCTTGAAAATGGTCTTTAAGTAGCATATTAGAAAAGTTAAGATGTCTTTGAAATGCTTCATTTTCTCGAGTTGGATCTCCGCAAAGTCTGTAGAGATCTATTTACAAAAATAGAACTCAATATTGCTTTTATCTGTTACCTTAATTTAAACGAAAAGAGTATGTCCATTATAAAATAATACTTACCTTTTAAAATAGCAGAGGCCCATAACTGTACATGCACGTCAGGAATTTTGCTTGCTAACTGCATCGCAGGTGTAACCATATTCATGCTTTCCCTGCTGTTTCCCAACGAAAGAAAGATATGTCCAAGAAGAACCAGAGAGCACGATGTTAAACGGTTTAAATCTTCTGCGTTTGCCATTTTTAACGTTTCTCTTAAATATCTCCTAAACAAAATACGCAAAATATCTCTTGAAAAAATTGGAGATAAAAGGTGGAAAATATTTACTTCGCCTCATTGTACCGCCCTTGAAAGAAGGCTTGTAGTCCTTGCACATAATAAGCAGCTGCTCTAAGGCTGTGAGAAAAAGAAGGCAAATTTTCTGGATTGATTCGGTCCAAAAGGGCGGTAAAATCTGCCTCTCTTTTACCTCTCAAATAAACAATAGCCAAATTCAAATTCGAAAATGTCCATAATTCTTTTTCTTGGGAAGTCTACGTAAACACAAAAAAATCGTATTTAAATGTTCGATTAAAATTCTTATTTACTTTCAAAAATTTTTTAAACAAAAAGTTTTTTTTCAAAATGTTTCATTGCATATATACTAGTGAAAGTTCATTTGAATTCTTACACTTAAAGCAGCATTAAACTGAGCTTCTGCAGCTTCCATACAATTCATGCTCATGGCATAAAGTCCTAAAAGAGTATGCAATTGAGGTCCATGTCTATCAAGTAATTGAGGATTAGACTTGCAAAGGGCAGTTGCTGCTGTTATTTCCTGTAGAGCTTGGGTTTTATTGCCCATTACTAATCTGCACATTATTATGTGTTCCAAAAGCATAAGTTGAAATACTGACAAAATTGGTTTGTTATCCACAACTATAAAAAAGGTAATTAGTATTACTTTATGTTAAACGTTTTTTATTATGTTTAACTTACTTTTTAATTTTTCAATTTGCATGAGAGCCTTGTCAGTATATTTTTGAGCTTTTTCCATGTACCCAGCCTGCATGCTATGCATTACTGTGACAAGATAAACAAGAACATAAAGGTGTTCTTTTGGCATCCAAAGGAACATATCTCCTGGATTGGAATTCATAATAACTACAAAAAAAACATTACATTACAGAAATCCGGGATACTTTTTTTTTTTAATTTTACTCTTTTGAAAAAGTAATTTTTGATAATTCCCGTTTTTTAATTTTTAGTTTGATTTGTTGTACATATAGGCAAAGTACTGAAGTAGGTATTTATGTACATATATGTTAAACTATATCCTAGATGTCCAATTCGATAAATGTTTATATGTATCAATGTTCTCAAGCAAATTATTTTAATTTTTATTTAATCATTTAGTTTAATTTACTGTTATAAAAAAATGAGTGTTAAAAAGACATTTACCATCATCTGTACTCATTATGGTTTGAATTGACTGCTGTAACTGTTTCAAACAGGGTTTTACACTTTTAACTTGTCCGGCCATTAAATGGTGACATACCTAAAATTAAATGTTATGCATTTATAAATAGTAATATTCATAACTGGGGGGAAATTGGAGCAAATAGTTACATTACAACAGCAGAAAATTACCTGCAGTACCAAAAAATAGACTTTCAAATATTCTTTTTGATACATGGTTCCAGTCCATGTCTCTACTAAATGTCCTGCTTGGTTTAAGACAGTTTGAACTTCTTGTAATTTTTTATCAATTAGAAGAAGCTGCAATTAAATTATCAATAACATTTAACAGTAGGGCATATTTTTATAATTCCATTTCCTACCATTCCCTTACTTAAAAGAAACAAAACCCTGGTATAATATGCATTTGAGATATGAGCATAATCTACACCAACTCCAAGTAAACTGCTGGCAAGCTGATAATCCTTTTCAGCTGCGTGTATTTGCTGTTAATAAATCATGCATGGTAAGTTTAATTTCAATAGAAGTTAAACACATACTTACTGCTAACTGAAATATTAACCGGCAATGCCAGTATACATTATGTTGAGAGAGTTCAATTGCTTTTCTCAAAATTGGCTTAGAAAGTGCTGGCTGTTTTTGTTGTTCATAAAGTTCAGCCAAAACACTTGCTGCCTCAAATTTTACATCATCAAAGGAATTTATAATTTGTGATAATAACCACTAAAACTTAATCAATAGTATCCAAAGGTAAACAAACAAATTTAAACATACTGCTTGTTCTAAATGGTTCTTAGCTAAATCAGTATTTTTCGTGTGAGTTAATAAGATATTTCCCAGTTGCAAATGAGTTCTTGCTTCTACTCTTGGAGGCGGTTTAAATGTAAAAACTGCCTGTAAGCACTGGACACAACATTTTATCATAGGAGGACTGGAAGTCCTAAAATATTCAGCTAATCCTAGGAGAGACAAATACCAGGCGTCTTGTGAAGATGCCATTAGGTTATACTAAATTTGTATGTTACGATAATTAACTCTTATCACAATATATTCACACTTCTTTTATATATATCTCATTTAAAACTCGTATACCTACAAAAACACTACTTTATGATTAAATTATGAATAAAATAATGACACAAGGTCACAAACGTCAAAAAAAACAGCATTTAATAGATTTGAAACTAATATGATTTATAACATACATTTAGCCCTGTGCCCTGTTCAGACAGAAACATAAACACCACTGTAAACGTCAAAGACAACATAACCTAAACAAAATTAAAAACACATCAAACAAAAAACAGAATTTAAATTATAAATTGAGCGGAAGGATCGTTTAAAATGCATTTTAAAGACTTGCTGCTTCGGTTTACTATAGAAACGCTCCATTGATAACGCAGTCATGGTAATGTGAAACACGTTATGTCTCGTTATCAACTGATGGAAGGAATTAACAATAATTCAGCACCTCAATGTGAAAATGTTGCCCAAATTGATAAAGCACATGATCGTTTCCCCTTCTGTATCGTTTGGACCCCAATTCCTTTTTTAACTTGGTTGTTTCCAATAATTGGTCATATGGGTATTGCAATGTCATCGGGTGTTATAAGAGACTTTGCTGGTCCATTTTTCGTTTCTGAAGATAACATGGCTTTTGGAAGACCTACAAAATATTGGCAACTAGATCCTTCAAAAGCTCGCGGCAGTATTTCTGGGTGGGATCATTCCGTAAGAGAAGCATCAGAAATTTACAAGGGAAGAATGCACCATCTTCTGTGTGATAATTGTCATTCCCATGTTGCTACTGCACTAAATTTAATGAAATATGATAATGCTAATTGGAATATGGTAAAATTGGCAATATTAATGCCATTTTATAGTAGGTATGTCAGTTTTTCTGCTGTTTTGAAAACATGGGTGCCATTTTTAGTAATATTAATAGTTGCTGTTATTTTATGTACTGTTTTATAATTTTAGTTAATATTCGTTTTGATTTTATGAAGGTTTATGGATGNTTGAAGTGAGTGCAGTGTCTGTTTTATAATTTTAGTTAATATTCGTTTTGATTTTATGAAGGTTTATGGATGGATAAATCATTAGTTAAAAAAATATTAGCTCTTGGAAAGATATTTCTATAAAATCATTATTTTTTTGTACAAAAATAAATTGCAGATAATTTATTTTTTGTTGTTTTAATAATACAAGAGGGTAAATTATAAAGTTACTTTATTCTTCAAATAATCAAATTAAACAAAAAGATGCATTACAGTTGATTGAGATTGTATTAACATTAGCATACAAAAATATTAATTAAACAGTATTTAATTAACTCATATGATTAGTTGAGTTAGGAAACACTGTAAGGAAAGAGAACCCGGTTGTTCCAGAAAGAGTTTTACCATTTTTTCTTGTACTATGCTACATATTGTCGTACAGTTATTATTTATGTGCATTCCAGTTATAAACATTAGAAATTTTTTAATGTCTATTGTTGCACTTACAATTTCTAAGTTATCTTCATCAGTAACAGTTTTTGTAAACCCATGGATATTGCCTACAAATAAAACGTAGAAGGGCTAAAAAGTACATATCTAAAAAGGTGATTATTTTGCCCAAAAGTACTTTTAAACTGAAGTATAATTCTACAGACAATAATTTTTTAAAATTGCAGCCTTCTTTAATATGAGTCCAATTAAAAGTAAATCACGGGAAAAAGTTAAACTTTTATACAGATTACTACTTTGGTTTAAAAATGTCTTTTTATTAAAACCTTTCAATTGGACATGATATTTCTTATTTATTAGAAGTTTTTAACATATTAATATTCAATATTAACATTCTTACCTGCAAAGGATTCAACACTTAAGTCAGGGAAATGTGCAGACATATTTACTGTTGTTTCTTGGATTGCTAGTGTTAATCTCCCATCTTTTGTTGCTGAAACTGTAAGTGCATTGCTTATATTTTTCATACGTTCAACAATATTCTTAATTGGTTTTAAATGTGGCATCTGCAGAGTAACCTGCAAAAGAATCAATTTTAATATAGTATGTCGTGCAGTCGTATTTTGTATATACATGAAAATCATTAAAATGTGGCTCTTCATAATCTTTCCAGTGTTTTCTTGAAATAGTTTCTACAGGAATATCATGGACACATTGTCTATTTTGTATTCCTTCTCCAGAAATCTAAATAAGTATTATTAACATAACAACTTGTCGCAGAACATTTCATATTATTACCAGTTCTATTTCTAGTGTAAGACAGGGTGTTTGTTTGTTTGTTAATTTTACTTTAAGGGACTTCGGATTCTGCTTGAGAGTTGAAAGGGAACGAGACAACATACCTTAAAAGATATATTGACTTATACAGTTTGTAGCAGTTTTTTTTATATTACCTGTTGCAAAAGACAGATAGATTTCATTGTAGTCTTCATTAACACCTTCTAAAATATATTCACTGAAATAGAAATTAACAGGTAGTTCACACCAAACCAAAGGTCTACGAGGACCAGCATCTTCTTCTGATATTATAAAATAAACTTTTCTTTTTGTTATTCTCATTACACATTCTTTAGCCAATTTAGAAACAGCAACTGCTACATCTGGCAAAAATAACTTTAACAAGTAAAATAAAAGAAATTAATTATACATACTCATAAAATCTTTCATTGCTATTGCATCCGTCATTACCCCCCGAAATTTCATTTTTGTAAGGGCTTAAACTGAAAACAACAAACTATATTATTATAACCTATACCTGTATAAAACGTATGAAGCGCTAAATTTTTGAATTTAACCATAGAAATTGCTGTAGTGCTCTTGATATGATATTTATTTAGCCATATTTTATTCAATTTATATAGGTTTGTGCTTCCCCTAAAACATAATTACACTTACTTTGCGTTAGTTCACATAATCGATTTCACATTCAACCATTTCATATTTCTTATCTGTCTCACATTAATAAACTTTTTTCATTTTAGATCAGGTGGACGTGGTGGAGGAGGTCGTGGAAGAGGAAATCGTGGAGGTGGACGAGGGGGTCGTAATGAAAACCGATTTGCAGACGCAGATGAGGGTGGTTGGGGTAAAGGTGGAAACAATGATGATGATGGTGATGGAGGTTGGGGAGGAAATTCAGGTGGTAGAAGAGGTGGTGGTCGACGAGGAGGTGGTAGAGGAGGTCGTAAATTTAACGACGATAACAACGGTGATTCGGAATGGGGTGGCCGTGGGGGTGGAAGGTCTGAAAGAAATCATGACGACGACGCTTGGGGTGATAGCAATGGTGGGGGTAATCATGGTAACGATGGCGGCTATAAAAGAGGACGTGGAGGAAGGCGGGGAGGAGGAAATGGTAAGATTAAGAAAAATAATGTTTTCACTTGAATATGTTAAAAATAATAAGTACTTACAAAGATTGTTANAACTACAATATGTATCTTTAGTAAAAAAAAATACGTAATGCCAAATTCGATTTTTGAATATGTCTAAAAATGTACTTAACTATAGCAATTTATTCATTATGCCTTTTTTATTTTCTTGATTAATTTGTTTAAGCCTTTCTTTAAGCCTTGTATGATACGAGGGTTGTTTAAAATGTTATGATGAAACGCGAACGCTAGACTATCTTTTCCAAACCTCTTGCAGCGCTCATCTCCAACTATGATAACCAGAAGTCGCAAGGGGCTAAATCTGGACTATACGGTGGGTCTGGTACAGTTGCAATGCCGCAAACGATCTAGAAATTTATGGTAGTGTGAATTACGTGGATTCGCTCATTATCACGATAAAGAAAAATTTCAGAAATATTTTTGTGTAACCGATTTTTCATAAAAGAACTCCAACATATTCGTACTAAAAACTTTCGTAATTGATTGATTAACTTCATAGCCTTACTAAGCCTCTAAACTATACCATTTGTTTTGTTAAAGTTTTCACGTTATAACGTTCAAGAATCGATAGACTGAAACTTTTAATTACAGATGGTTACACATTTTTCCCAAAACATCATTTTTTGAAAGGTACTTGCATTAAGACACATGACTCTTATCTGCCTGTTTGTAGGGGCTATTTTACGATGGAGCTGAACTATTTTCATGGGATATTATAAGCAGGAAGAGGAGGTTCTACCTAGGCTCTTTCTTTAAAAATAGTTATTGGTTATAACAGTAATTGTGTTTATTAATTATCTATAAACAATAAGAATTAACTTTGCTGGAAAATGACTCACAAGGATGAAGTCGCTCGTAAAACCTATTTTTGACAAGAAGTTGTCTATGACAAGAAACCATAAAAACAAAAGTAATCAGCTGTTGGCTTTACTTTATTTCATCAGTGCTTGTGTATTTTGGATATTCATTAAATAGTTTATTAAGAGAAAGTCTAAATTGCAAAGTGAATGTCAGAAAAGATTACTTTGTTAATAGGTAATGTTTTGTCCCATTTTATTTCAAGGCCTATATTTTCTTTATTTAAAATTATTAATATCCCGATTTAAATTGCAGGTTGCTGATGGGTTTTGGGATGATTCGCCACTTGTTGTTGATGTCGGATTTAATCAGTTGCCGTGAAGACTGTTTAGGTCGAGGTGAATGCAATAATGGCACATGCCTATGCGAAATAAGGTTCACAGGAGAATATTGTGATGGACCAAACTTACCCTATCATGCTGGTATTGGCGGTGTATTTTTGTTGGTAGCACTAGTTTGTGCTATTCAACTGATGATGTGCATTGCATTCGAGTATCAACGCTTGAAGGCCCCTACATTTCTAAAAGCATGCAGAATAACCACCCAAAAGCTTCTATACTTTGTTATGTTTCTTGCGAGTCTGATAAGAGGAGCCTACTTTTTATCTCCAGTAAGTAGTAAAACCCCTTTTCTTATGATATATTTTTTTACAAGTAGAGGTACCTAGTAATGTGAGTGATTTCAAACTAAGTAACTCCCATCTTTTAAATTTTGCCAGTAATCTATCAGTTATTGGTCAGTTACTGGCAAAAATGATGTTTAAGAAATTTTTATTAGGTATCTGCTCATACCATTTACTGATCTGCCCTTTTTCTTATGTTTGTACTAACTAATCATGAAAATGTTTTTTTTCACTGTAGTTTTTATGATTCTACAGTTTAATTTATTTACCCCTATTGCTAGTTATATAAAATCTTATAGTGATGATGATAACATTGTTTCTTTTTTATTTTTTTGCAGAACAATTTCAAGGAAGGATGGTCAAATCTACTGCTCACTTCATATTATCCTCTTCTTTTATCAGGATCATCCCTAATAGTTTGCTTTTGGGCTGAGGTACAGTTTTTTTTATTACCTTAAAATTAAGAGCCCTTGTTTTCTGTTTTCTGTCTGTGTTCAGTAAGAGAGAGTTTCCATGAGTATTTATTCAAAGAGTTTATAAACTAAATTTTGAAGGAATAATTCTTATTACATAGATGCATATTTATGTATGAAGTTAATTTAAATATATTTTTTACAAGAAAAAGATCATATACAGGGAAGATTTGAGTAAAATCATTTCATTCTGATATACTTAGTTGTAAAAGTAATATTCATGGCCAAATATTAATTTATTGGATGCCTATTAGGTACTCTTACTGTTATCATCGACGTGATCAACATTAAATACATATATTTGGATACATGCTCACTTTTAGATTCAGTGCATATCTTGGCTTGGTATGTATTTAATAGTAGCTAGACCATTTTGGTCGAACGTAATTGCTAGTTTTTGTCATAATGATTTCCTATTTTTTTTATTTATTGCAAAACAGGGGTGTGACGTAGCGTTTAAATCGTGTAGTTGAATATATTAAATTTATATGATACAAACACTTTGAAGCACATTAGTGTTCTGTGAAGTGTTTCATAAAATTTATTAAAACGAAAAAGAAGTAAATATCGGTTTTTTAGTTCCATTTTCAGTGAAACTTTACCTTTTTATAGAAAATATTGAATTAACAGGTATTTATTAAGAATATTTTTTAAGGATAATACACATTTGAACTTGGCTTCCATGTCAATTTCACCGGTCGGAAGGGCGACTTGTTTGCTTGCAAGTTTATCAGCTACATTTTTCGCATAACTTTTACTTCGATCAATCTCTTTACCTTTGCTGTTTCCATCTTTTGCTTTCAATTTNGATCCTCATCGTTGTAAAGTTAACATTTTTTTTTTACATTATACACTACTGCTTATTATTAACAGTTTCCATTTACTTTCGTGTTAACCACAGCGACTTTAAATCCATTCTTTTTATGATACTGCACCATTTAATGATAATGGGAACAATAATTAATTAAGAGTATGCAGCATTACACAGTACGATCTATAGTACCTTATCTAGCATAAGAACAAAAAGTTATGATTGTGTCTTGGTAATAGATTGCTTCTTGTAACGTTAACTTTTGAATCGTTATTATCTATACGTTGTAAAGCTCATTTGTTTAGTTTATTTCTTTATTTGAATTTTAATTCTGTTCAGGAACTACAAATCGAATTTTCAAAATAATTTTTTTATTATTAGAAATACTGTACTGCAACGAAGTTTAAAAAAAATGTAATCATGCAATAATTGAAACTTAACTTAAAAGAATGTTAATTTTTCTTACATTATTTTAAACAGAACATAATTAAAACACGATAAAAGGACAAGAAAGTTAAGAGTTTACGTAATAATAGACCAATATTTTTCTTTCAGCTATGATTATTATTGGGTGCGTGGCGTTAATATTTATTTTTGAAAAAGGAAATGCTATGTTCACAACGGAAAATAGCCTCAGTTTCTATTGTACAGAGCCTCATACGTTTATGTGCGAAAACAAACGTTGTATCTCAGATATTAAAAAATGCGATGGTGTAAACGATTGTGGTGATAACTCAGACGAAGAAGACTGTGGTGAGATACTTTTATTATCTCAATAACGGATTAGTCTTTCATATATTCAGTTGCAAAGAATATACTCTTTAAAAAAAACGGAACGTGTTATTAAAGGCACTTAATCAATAATAACCGACTTCAAGACATTTGAAAATTAAAATTAACGGTTTGTTATTATTTTTGTGGTGATTTCAAATGTCCTACTACACTTTTCATAAATCTATTAGTATATGACTTTAAAATTTTCTTTATCTGAACATACGACAATTGCACATTTTGAAAATCAGAAGAAAGAGGGATTTTCAAGTATTTGAAAATACATAGGTTGTTTCACTTTAAAAATACATATTTCGAGTACCCCTTGCACCTATAATAACAGATTTATAAAAATTCTAGTAGCATATTTGAAATCATTGCAGAAAAGGTTACAGAACCATTACTTTAAAATTTTCAAAATTCACCTTGTACAAACGTAAACTAAAAAGTTAAAATAGTAAATTTAAACATCCCCATAGATGGAGATCTAGCCGATTCAATAAAAAGAGAATAATTAAAATCGATACATAATTGGCGAAGAAATTGTGTAATATAAGTTCGTGTATTTTGTTGCTACTGATACTGATGTTAATTTGTATGTAATACAAAAAAAACTTGTTTTCTACGTATCATATGCCTTTTTAGCCCATCAACTTAAAATATTTTATTTCCTTATTATTTCGTATCCTATTTGTTTGTAATATTAAATTCGTATTAACTATTTTAATGGATTTTGTACAAGAACTTTTGAATTACCTTTCAGGCATTTTAGAGGCGGCGACATTAATTGTGGATGATAATTCATGTAAACCACCTCATTGGTTTCAATGCAAACGTAGAAAAAAATGTATTTCCCAAGTCTTTCTATGCGATGGTGAAAACGATTGTGGTGATTTTTCAGATGAAGAAAATTGTAAATCATCAACGGTAATGTAATCACTGCATTATATATCTACACTAAATTTTTGTGACAACGCAAAAGTTACAATTTTTGATTGTAAATGACTGAATTTGCCGTATAAATAGTAGAATTTGTTAGGTAACTTGTAATAATCTCAATTTTGATATTTAAAAATTATTTCAAGTTTCTTAATTATTACAATTTAATTTCGTTTTTCTTAATTCTTAATTTTTATTATTTTCGCTTACGAAGCAACGGGCTAGTGGGATACATTGTAAATATCGCTTTAACCCTAGACAAAAATTTTCAGTCTCTCTCTAGTCTTTCAGAGTCTTTTAGCGTCTCTGAGAGCGTCTCTCACAGTCTTTCACAGTCTCTCAGTTATTGTCTAGGTGTTTTTATGAATCTTTGTATGATAGACTCCATCGATAAAATTGTTAATTCAGAGATTCGAGTCTCTCACAGAGAGTTTGAATGAATAAAACTGAAAAATTGAGAGACTCTAGTCTCTCGTAGAAAGACTGGGATCTCTGAAATATGTTGAAAATTTTAACCATGTCTATCGAGACACCGCTTATTGAGAGATTCGAGTCTCTCGTTCAGAGACTGGATACGAAATGAGGATCACTCTATGAGCGACTCGAGTCCCTCGTTCAGAGACTCTGAGAGATTGAACATTTTTATTTCGGGAATACTTTTTTTTTCGTTTTCTCCGTGTAATTTTGAGATATCCTGCCTGTATTTGAATATTAGATCAACTCGCCCTTCAGGAGCTTCTTGGGTTTGGTTACTAATTTAGCTGCATATGGCGAGCTGATGAGATCAAATATGATCGAAATTGCTATTTGTGGTAATTTTCTGACCAAGAACCTACACGTTGGTAATCGTCTTATTTTGGTATCTATCGGTTTTAGTCCCATTAAACATTTTACAGATATTTGCTTATTTGACTCTTAAAAAAAAATAAATACGGTCCTGAAGGCGTTTTCCCTAAAAAATTTCTAGTCGGGTACACGTACATATCGAACTCTGTTTTTAGATAAGATTAGCGTGTTACAAAAAGCTCATAATGTGTTATAAAACCATTTGGCACTTACAATTGACTAATAGAGATTGTGCGTTATTTTACAGGGGCGGCCTTAGTCATTGCGAGGCTCCAAGCGGGTAGATCTTTACGTGGTTCTTTTGTCTTTGTGAAACTTGTTTTAATGATGATACTTGATGAGAAATGCAAAGTTATTAACAAATAAATGTAGAGTTTTAAAATTATTCATTTGAAATTAACAAAAATTAATAAACACAATAATTAATCATGATAAACTAATGCGCTTAAACGTTTTATAAGAATCAGGGATTCAGAAATTATGCTGGCGGGTATTTTAAGACTAAGAAATTCAAATAAAAATTAGTTGTATTATTACACAATATTTTTCTACTTGGATTGTTGCATGATTGTCCTTCTCGCCACTCTCAAAGGCCACCCCTGTTATTTTACACATATAATTAATTAATAACCAATTACAAATAGGAAGAATGGAAAAAATCAAATTAAAAATAGCATTATAATAAAAGAAACAAGATTATTTATACATTTTTTAAGTATTTTTTATCTACTTTTCATTTTGTTCGTACTGATGTAGCTAAAAGCTTTAATGTCCTCCAATTCAACTTGCGAAGAAAATCATTGGCAATGCGATGATAAATTGTGCATCGCCAAGGAATGGGTATGCAACGGGGAGGTTGATTGTTTAGATGGTTCGGATGAAACAACAGGTTGTAAAAGTAACATTACTTGCGATGGAGGTTTTAAATGTCGAAGTAGTGGGTTGTGTATTCCAAAATATGCTGTCTGTGATACTTTTAACGACTGTGCAGACAAATCGGATGAAGCCAACTGTAGTAAGTTTATTCTTTAAACATTTGTACGGTATTATTATTGAAAAAGAAGAACAAAATATATGAAGGAAGGTTTATCCTTTATACATGGATAGAAAGTAATATTTTTCGAAACAAACAAAGTGTTATTTCGGTAATAACACGTTATTTGTTTCACTAAATTTGTGATAAGTTAGACTGCGATGACGATAGTAACAAATAAATTTATAAATTTATTACATGTGAGTTAACCATGATTGGCTTTATAGAACATTCAAATTCTTCAGAATTTCCTACATGTTTATAAAAAATTTTAAATGTTTTTTTGTCGAAAATTGGAAAATGTATCCGAAAGTTCCACTACTTTCTGCAATATACTTAACTAATGGTTAATTCATAAAGCATGCGTCATTGGATCCCCATTTAGAACAATGTGGTTTTTTAATTATTTTCGAAATTAAACTTTCATAAAAGTTTTATTTTTTTATTCAAAATGATCTGCAACAGTAAATGTCCTATTGATATTGATTAATCCATTTATACACCTCTTTCTTCGATTCACCAAAAATACAATCTTCCTGTTACCAAACCGTTCCCTCTTTACAGAGTTGTATGGTTTATGACAGTATAATTGTGTATGTTTAATATGAAGAGATGGGCAGAGATGTGATTTATTTGAAGTACTTGCATTTAAAGTGCAAATACAAAACAAAAAAATCTTGCATTTTTGAGAAAAGCATTTTGTATTTTCTATTTGTAAAATGCAAAATACATTTTTGCCGTTAAAAGTTTTGCTAGTTTCACCGATCAAACATTATATAAAATGATGAATGAAAGTTGCTCACATTGGCTATTAAAGGTATTAGAAGCTTAAAAAGGGGACAAAGGGACATTCCATGAATTCAAAAAATTTTAAACTACTTGGAAATGGATAACCTAAGATATTGGATCGAGATTGTTTTCCGGGTTCAATGTCATAGTCCATGGAATTTTGAAGTTCAAAATTGATATCACCACTTATTGTACCTTTAGCAAGGAACTACGAAATTCTATGAATTACGACAAAACAGCCCGCAAAACAATATCGAATCGATATACGTCAGCTGTGTAAAATTGAAAACTACAGGATATTGTGTTGTGCTAATAAATGCGTATAATCCAAAATTCTTAGAAAACGATTCGAAAAACTTCATTTATTAGATGAACCCAAAGCTAAATAAACTATGGATTGCATTTCTTTCTCTTTTTACAATGTGTAAAGGATTGGAAACAAAATGGGGTTGTAAATATTTTAATACAAAATGGTTGATGTTGATTTTACACCAACAAAATTATTTACAACCCTATCTTGGCTCTGATCTTTCACGCTAAACAAACTACGTTGGCATCAGTGTCTTTTTTCTAATTAAAACGGGTGACAAACTGAAGAAACTGTAACATAAAGGTAGAAAAATTATATCATAATCAATCCAAACAGAAAAATATGAATTATACTCAATCTTCGCTGCTGGTGATATAATGCAAACACTACTATTAGTCTAGAAAAACTCCAATATTTAAAAAATGAGAAAATGCCTGCAAGGTTTTTTTAAAAAATGTTGTACACTTAAGTGAATTTAGAAAAACTACTACAAAAAAGTATTTAGTTGAAAAAAGTATTTTTAAAATACGTAGTTTACATTTAGCATTTAAAATACAAAAGGGAAATGTATTTTGTATTTTACGTTTGAAGTAACAAATCAAAAAAGTATTTGCATTTTGTATTTAAATACTTTTAAAAAACAATTTGGCACATCTCTGGATGTAATTGGTACCACAAATCCAAAAATCTTCCTGCTACCAGACTCTTTCCTCTTTATAGAGTTTATGACAATTTAATATGTATGTTTAGTATGAGGGGATGGGTCTTTAGCCCATTACTACATTCCTGTTTGGATAATGGTAGGAATTACAGTTAGTAAATATTAAAAATAATTCGACCTGTGTTTTTATTTGTTTAAATTTGAATTTACAGCCCTATTGTAAAATATATGTAGGTACTACCTGTTTCACACCCTCTTACTATTGTAATTGTTTGATTGTTGCAGAGCTTCTACCAGTTTCACCAGAAAATTGTAATATTGACCAGCGAAGGTACCTTTGCCACGATAATATTTCTTGCATAGAATTGCATCATTTATGCGATGGAAAACCTGATTGTCCGGATAAGTCCGACGAAAGTTTACTTTGTAGCATCCTTAAATGCACCCCCGGTCATTGTTCTCATGATTGCGTTTCGTTTCCTACAGGACCAAAATGTCTTTGTCCTGTTGGATTTCATACGGTCAACGAAAAGGATTGCGTAGATATCAACGAATGCGAAATTTACGGTTAGTTCTATTCTAAATCCAGTTTTAAGTTAAAGGGAAAACTATTACCTACCCAAAATTGTGTAAAATTGTCAAAATACCTAAAACCATTTAGGCAACTGTAGTGCTTCATCATATACTACGATGTTCAAAAAGAAGAAACGTTATAGATATTCTTTGAAATTCCTAGTGGTTAAATATTAAATATTAATTTGAAAATTCATTCTCAATTTTCTTTCCACTATAAGATATAGCAGCAACAAAATTTTTTCTCAGTAATTTGAGGTAACATAATGGAAGAAAAATTGAGAATGAATTTTCAAATTAATAGTTATAAATATTGCATTTGTTTAAGATCATCATCATAAGGTCGTCAGTCCTAAGATGTCTCTAACTCTATCCTATCCTGAGCTAATCTTCGCATTTCCCTAAATCTAGAACATCCCACTTCCTTAACTATTTGCGAACAATATTTTAATTTAGGATCACCTCTACCCTTAACTCCTGTTTCTGCCTCTAATATGTCTCTGACTAGACCTTCATGTCTGAGAAGGTGCCCTACCAACCTATCTTGTTTATTTCTTATTGACTTTCTAATATCTCTTCATTTCTATCCTTCTCTATAACCGTTCGCGAACATAGAAGTGACTTCCTTTTATTGAAGACGACTTAAGATAATGGTGTCTAAAAATTTTATTCTTTTATTTAAAGACTATAGAAAAACTGATTTGTCCTGATGTAGGTCTAAAGGTCGTTAGTGTTGCCCAAATTCAGTCTTGGTCTTGCAGTCTTGGTCTTGTTCTTGCGTTTTTGCAAGACCAAGACCAAGAACAAGACCGCGTATTTTTAGCAAGACCAAGACCAAGACTGACCGTGCAAGACTTGAGCAAGAACAAGACATAGCCTGCAAGACTCTTGCGTCTTGCAGCTAGGACTTAGCGCTATTTCACTGAGTAGTTAGGTGTAACAGTTCGGTGTATAGGTAGGTACGCTTAGGAATTCTATGAGACGCAAAAAACTGTATCAAAGAATATGAAAAACTGGACCTATGCGCATTACGACTAATACCATAAACATAGCGAATAAAAAAATTATTAAAATCAAACTGAGTGCATGCATAGTTATGTTTTAACCATCGGCACTTTGATAATGCGGCATCAAAGGTTTTGTACTTACTTCTCAAAGAAATTTGCCGCTTTTCGGAAGTACATGGTTATGATACACGCGCCGGCGGCTTCTTTTGAAATCTAAAACAATCGTTGCCGCCACGCCGAAATCATAACATTTGACACTATTTGATTGCCGCCATAGGGTGTAGGTATACTCATGCAAAATAATTTCGAATTTTTTTACACGCTTTATATTATTGTTTGATTTGCGGCGGCATCCTTATCATAGAGCCGGCACGTGGCGAGGCGGCGCGGTAGAAAGCAAGGATCATAAATGTTTATTAAGAAACAGTTACTTCCATGGAAAACGACATATAGGTCAGTTGATTTTTCGAATTTCTTATCAAATCTTCAGTTATTTATTAATCTGCTTGATCTTTACTATGGCTATATTCATTCAAGCTCACAATGTTCCAATTCTAATACGTTTTTCTAGGATTTAAAGTAAACTTTAATAAATAGTAATAGACTAATAGGTAATTGCAAGACTTGCAAGACTCTTGCTGCAAGACCAAGACCAAGACCAAGACTGGGAGCGCAAGACCAAGACCAAGACCAAGACCAGGTGTATTGGCGCAAGACCAAGACCAAGACTGGCTAAGTCTCGTCTTGTTCTTGCGTTTGGGCAACACTAAAGGTCGTCGTCGGTTGCAGTTGCTTCCTAACGTTTCGCTAGCACAAATGGCTATCTTCTTCAGAGGTCTTTTCATCTCCTATACCTACAGGATATTCCCATTTAGCATCGGACAGTCCACATCCAGCTTCGGAGATGGACGGGACTTTGAAGAAACTAGCGAAACGTCAGGAAGCAATTTCAATCGATGAAGGCCTTAAAACCAGAATCAGGACAGTATCAGTTCATCTACTGGCTATTTTGTAGAAACTAGTAAACACATATTATGAACAAAAGGTAAATGACCAGAGTAAAGTGGGTTAGTGGGGTCCTCAAAAAAAAATTAAGGATTCTTCTTGTTTACCAGTTTCAATACTGTATCTACATTCGTAAAATCTGTTTTTCAGATTGAAAATAGGATTTGAGTAATAACTAGGTACAAAAATATTAATGTAGGTACTTTACCAGTTTTAACTTTTCGGGTGCTTTCCACTATCAAAAGGTATCAGCGACTGAAAGAACTTATTTATTATGCAGGACTTTAAAATTGGTGGATGCGCCGGGTGGTAATGTCTTTTTTGATTAATACTCACTCTGTAAGGCGTGGAAAAAGTTTTCTTTGCTAATTCAGTAAAGATTGGGCAAACATTTACCTAACGTGATCTTTTGCTTGTTACAAAAAATTCATCGTAAAAGCTTTTGTTTTTTAAGGACAACCATTCCACCCATATTTTACAGATATATTTATATTAATTTAAAAACTCTTAAATTTTGCCTTACGATTAGTTAAAATCGGATTTAAAATACTATGTATAAAATTGATCTGAACATGCATTATCCTAAATATAAATGCAAAATAGAAATAGAACACTGTGATAACATAACCGAATTGGATTTAGTATTTTCAAAATAGAAAATTGAGGTTTAAATCTAGCCAAATCACATAGAAAATAATGTACATGTAGAAAGGATATTCAATATGGAATATGTAAGTAGGTATTTAGCATCATCATCATCATAAGGTTGTCAGTTCTAAATCAACGACTTTTTCTAATTGTTCGTCTCCTATCTTTACATTCGCTGTTTCCCTATATTTTCTTCCCTTGCATACAAGTATTTTTTTTACTTTTATTTATTTTCATACAATACTGTTTTATTAATACCGCTTCCACCCTCCTTGCTTGATGCTAATACTGATATATCATCTGCAAATCCAGCCGTACTAATCTTTTGCCCCTGTATATCTATCCCTACATTTGTAGTAATGATGATCATTACGTCTTCGATGTATAGATTAAAAACTTATTCAGAATATACTTTAAGAAGCTTTTAATAGTAGCAAATATTCAATATTAATATGAAAATTCATTTCATTTTTATAAAGTACAAATTGCCTCAAACCTGGTACTTTAGGCTTCACACATCAGTGCTTTGATTACTAAGTACGATTTATAAGAACAAAGGGTTTCACGGCCGGAATTCATAGTAATATGAAGATTCGGGCTATAGGGCCGTGGTCTAAGTGAACTGTTGTGTCCAGATGTTTCGTCAGCTATTGCGGCTGACATCCTCAGTGGTAGTGCTGCGTTGACAACGTAAACGTAGATTATATCTCGAAGTCTCGACAGCGACTGGTAGATATAATCTACGTTCATGTTGTCAACGCAGCACTACCACTGAGGATGTCAGCCGCAGTAGTTGACGAAACGTCTGGACACAATAGTTCACTTAGACCACGGCCCTAAAGCCCAANACTATAAAAATAAATGTCGAAAAATACACAACTAATAAAATGAATAATACGACTCAACAATTTTCATAAATACAGTTTTCTTGTAGCTCTTGGGCATGAAGTTTTTAAAGTTTTTGTTTGCTGTCTTTAGTCGCTGATAGGACTTTTATTATTGATGCTACGTAAAAAATGTATTAACTTTACAGACAACCGATTTTTTTTCATTAATTTGTGCATATTTTATGTGAACCCTTCCTGCTCTATTGGTTTATTCACTGATGGATATTTGCAGGCATATGTGACCAAAAATGTCGAAATAATCTCGGTTCTTATGAATGCTATTGCGATGAAAACTACGTATTACAATCGGATAAAAGAACCTGTCTCGCCAAAAACGGCGAAGCCTTAATGGTATTCAGTACTGTGTCAGAGCTAAGGGGGCTATTTTTGCAGTCTCACGTTTATTTCTCACTTGCGAAGGGTTTGAATCAGGCAATCGGTGTAGATTTCGACGGTGAACATTTATATTGGACCGACGTCTTTTCGGAATCGGAAAGCATAACTCGCGCCCGAGAAGATGGAACCCATAGGGAGGTACTTGCTACAAAGTAATTCGAAGTAATTCTACTGAAATCTACTCACAAATATTTCAGTTAATCGTTACATCCGGATTGGTGACCCCTGAAGACATTTGCATCGATTGGATCACAAAAAATCTTTACTTTACCGATTCCGATATGCAGCATATCGGAGTTTGTACGAGTGACGGATCTCATTGCACTGTTATCATGAACGAAGACATTGATAAGCCAAGAGGGATTGTTCTAAATCCTTCAGTAGGGTAAATATCTAATTAATGGTAGAATGCTTTACTTGTGGAAACTTAATAATCAATTAAAGGAAACGAAAATAAAGTTTTAAAAATATACATATTAATTGTTCACAACAATTGTTTCACCATAACATTGACCTCTTCAGGTGAAGATATTCTGATTAAAATTGTTACAAAATTAGCTTAAATACTAAAAGTTTACAAATTTTTTGGAGTGGGGACAACGAAAAGGAGGGATGAGGTAAGAAATAAAGTTTTTGGAGACAAATTTAAATTTTATAATGAACTATTTACATCAATCTGATCATTTAGTAAGTGTGTTTTATTGTTAATTTTAAATAAATTACCAAAAAAGACATAAATTAAATCTAGCCGAAAGT